AGTCAGCTTACCTCCAGAAGAGCCCTGCACCCTTCAGCACTCACCCCCCACTTCTCTGGTCTGCCTTCTGTCTGCATAGCGCCAGACGTCGCCGGTAAACACGATCAGATCGGACCTGGTCCCATGCGGCTGGCTTCGGTCACTGAGCAGCACGTGGCCAGGGTCCACCTGTGGTGCAGCAGGGGTCGGCACCTCTTCCCTTTCTATGGATGTTATTCTGCTGTGTGGATGGACCACATTTTATCTCTTCACCCGTCGGTGGTCATTTGTGTTGTTTGCACTTTGGGGTTATTGTAAAGGATGCTTATGTGAACATTGTTTTAATCAGTCTTTTAATGTGGATATGTGTTTGTGGGGGCTTCCCTTCTGTTGGGTATATTGACTTGCTGGGGTTACCTCCCCCTGGAGGCTGAGCATCTGGGGTCAAAAGGACCCTGGACACGGGCACATCCCTGGAGATGGGGATCTGACCTGGTCATCTCTGTGTCCCCAGCACCCACAGAGGCCCAGCCCAGAGATAGAACAAACGGCGACTTTTGGAATATCTGTTCTCTCCCGGCACGCCCGCCCCCGCCGCCAACTTTTGCCACAAAAGATCAAATTGCCTTCACTCCACGTTCACTGAAGGCACCTGAGGCTCAGAGAGGGGGAGTGACACCCCCAAAGTCACACAGCAAATAAGCAGCCAGCAACCACTCCACTCGCACCCCTCGGCAATAAGACGTGGCCTCCGAACAATGCACAGACCCGCTCTAGGAGTTAGCTGACACTTAGACCCCTGTTAAGTGGAATCGTGGAGTTAGTAAGACACCACATATAAAAGCATGGACCCAGGTGTGCACAGGTGATGAACGGATGTCTCGTTATCCTTGCCCTAACATCTTACGGAAAAACTGAAATGAACTCTGTGGCCAACCCAACACCCAGAGGGAGAATTGCTGGGTATCTCAGGGTGCCTGAGCAGCTCCAGCAGAGTGCTCCAGACTGGGCGGCACGTGAACAAAACAACAGAAATGTGCTTCTCCCAGTTCTGGGAGCGGGGAGCCTGAGGTGCGGCTTGTGCCCTGGTGAGGACCCACTTCCTGGCTCACGGCCGGGACCTTCTCTCTGTCCTCCTGGGTTGGAAGGGGCTCTCTGGAGCTTTGTTCATGAGGCACCAATAGCATTCATGAGGCCTTCACTTGTGACTGAAGACCCTCCCAAAAGACCTGCACTACCTTCTCTTTGGGGGCTAGGATTTGAGACTGCGAGATGAGGGGTGAGGAGGGGAGACCAGACACCGGGAGCACGGTCCCCAGTCATCTGGAGGTGCTGCCAGGCTGTTTCCGGGTCTGTGCCCGCTCACATCACCCCCAGCAGCACACGGGGGTCCCCACTGCCCCACACTGTCCTAGAACAGCAGTCTTCCTTGCTTTCTCTCACGGCATCCGGGTGGGTGGCACGTGCTGGCTCACTGCGGTGCTGATTCGTGTTTTCCCGGAGCTACTGATGTGCACTCACTCTCCATGTGCTTACGGGCTCCTGCGCCCGTTGCATTTTTATAAATCGCAGGCACAGCTCATGTACACGAAAAGCTCTCAGATCATCCACAAGGATTTAAAGGAATAAAGATGAAGTGCCCATGTCAAGCAACAGAAAGCTGCCAGGAGCCCCCCGGGTGACCCTAGCCAACCCCAGTCCTCACTTCCTACCCCAGGGACAACCACTTTCTCTACAGTCCAGTTTTGCCGCCGTTGAGCTCGATACACACGCAGTCATTCTGGGCAGAGCCCCCACGACTGCCCCCTTCCTCCCCACGGTGCTTTGAGGTTGACCTCTGCGCTGTGGCTGTTCAGGGTCCCTGTCCTGGAGGGCCCCATTGAGCCCGCCCTCCTCCGTTTGTCCGTCTCACCACGGACGGACATCAGAGTGTGCCCACAAAGCCGTCCGTGAACGCTGCTGGCAGGAGCACCCCTGAACCTGTTGGTGAGCACGCGGTTTCCAAGGCAGACACCTCGGAAAGGACACTTCCGAGCCAGAGCTCCGTGTGTCCGCGTCCTCGTCCCCCCCCAGTGTCAGCACCTGTTCTGAATGCCCCTCACCCCAGGCATCCGTAGGGGAGGCTCTGATGCTCTGAGATCCACCGGCCAGGGTATCGGGCCCCAGAAACGCCTGCTGAGCTCTGCCCCCAACACACAGGACGCCTCTGCTTTTTAGGCCGACGTGGAAAGGTGACACTCGGGGGCTGTCTGCTCACTGATGGGGACATCTGTGTGACTTGGGGGCTGCTCCCCACCACCGGCTGCAGCTCGTGGAGGTCACAACGCAGTACGTGCTCTGTCTGTCCCACCAGGCGTCCTGAAAGCAGGCGTTCGGCTGAGTCCCAGAGCACGCGGGTGTGTCTGAGTGCCGACGCTGTGGGCTTCTCTTCTGTCGAGTATCGTGACCAATCACCTCCTGGACTTGGAGCGTCTAGGGCCGAGAGGACCCTGCACACACGCCTGTCCTTGGAGACAGGGGTCTGACCTGGCCACCTCTGTGTCCCCAGCACCCACACAGGCCCAGCCCAGAGGCAGAGCTAACGGCTACTTTTGGGACATCAGATTCTATTCCAGCCCCCTTAACTTTGTCAGAGAAGATGGAATTATCACTGCATGTTCACTGAAGGCAGCTGAGGCTCAGAGAGGGCGAGTGACACCCCCAAGGTCACACAGCAAGTTTCCAGCCACCAAGCACTCGACTCGCACCCCTCGGCAGTAAGACCCTGGCCTCCGAACACTGCACAGACCCCCTCTGGCAGTTAGCCGAGCCTTGGTTTTTGCCTCGTTAAATAGAATCCTGCTAACCCCACAGAGTTAAATAAGACGCCAGTGCACGAGCTTTCCTGGTGGCTCAGTGGCAAAGAACCCGCCTGCCAGTGCAGGAGATGCAGGTTTGATCCCTGGGTTGGGAAGATCCCCTGGAGAAGGGAATGGCAACCCACTCCAGTCTTCTTGCCTGGAAAATCCCATGGACGGAGGAGACTGGTGGGCTGCAGTCTGTGGGGTCCCAAAGAGTCGGTCACAAAACTTAGCAACGAAACAGCAACAACATAAACGCGTGGACCCAGAGTGTGCCCAGGTCGTTCACTTAGTCTGTCACTGGAACAGGCAGAGGCAGCAGGACAGTGTGGATGAAGGACCACGGACACGCTCACATGCGATGACCCAGAAACAACGTTCACCAGCACACGCCCATCCCAGTGCCTGGCACACAGCAACAAGGGTCTGTTAGGATGACATTAGGCTAAAGACGACCTGGAAGTAGGAGACACTTTAGCTCCAAAGATGCCTCTTCACGCACAGAGTTTAAACCAATGAACAACAGAAAGAAAGGAGGGAGGGAAGGAGACAAATACTGGAAAAAAACAACCTAGATAGCAATATAAATATCCTGTCCTGTGGGGCATTTGGTGAACCTTGTCTTCTTTAATTGTTGGGATATTCCAAGAGCTGCCTCATCGGAAGAGGCCTGATGCTGGGAAAGATTGAGGGCAGGAGGGGACGGAGGATGAGGTGGTGGGATGGCCTCACTGACTTGATGGACATGAGTTTGAACAAACTCCGGGAGATGGTGAAGGACAGGGAAGCCTGGCATGCTGCAGTCCATGGGGTCGCAGAGAGTCACTCAGTCATGTCTGCAGCAGGGGCCAGCAAAATCCAGGCCATGGGCCATCTCAGCCTGTAGCTGAGAATAAAGATGCTGTGGACCCCAGTCGTTAGCTTTGCCTTTCCTGGAACTTCCTGTCACTGCCATCACATACTAGATTCTCTTTTGCACCCAGCTTCTTCCATGCCACAGTGTGTCTTAGATAGCTGAGCTTCCTGTGTGTCTCAGAAGTCCACCCTCTCTCCTTTCTGACCAGCGTCTCACTGGAGGGTTATAATGAAGTACAACCATCACCCTGGTTCTGCACATGGGGAAACAGCAAGCTGCCTGAGGGCACTCAGCAGGTTCATGTTAGGTCTGGGACTTAAACCAGTCCTTTCGGCCCCAGGGAACAGTAATGACTGGGGCGAGCTGAGGGCTGCCGGCCCGGGGTGGGGGAGGCGGAGGCTGCCACAGCTCTGGGTATCACTGCCTGGGTGGCCAAGCTGGCTGAGGTGAGCCGGATGCTGCTGGGCCACCAGGCTGGCCTCTGTGGCCAGCTCCCACGCCAGCAGGTCAGCGCCCAGCTGCTCTGGTTATGAAGTAACTTTGAGCATCACTCCAGGGTTGCCGGGTACCGATTCTGTTGGTCTGGTAGAACACCGGGCAGCCTGTCTTTGAAAGTCTCCTCCTGGCTTTCAAACGTTGGTTCCCCAAGTGATTTTAAACCGGCGCAGCCCCGAGAGAACCCACGTGTGGTCGAGACCGGCCTGCACGGATCTAAGCAGCAGCGTGAGGCTCTCTCCCTCGGGGTCGGGAGCAGGGAGGGCAAGCGAGTCCCAGGGAGGCTTTGCATCCAGGTCTGAGCTTACGGCACCAGAAAGACAGCGAGTGAAAGTGAAAGTCGTTCAGTCTGTCTGCCTCTCTGCGACCCCATGGACTATATATTCCATGGAGTTCTCCAGGCCCAGAATACTGGAGTGGGGTAGCCTTGCCCTTCTCCAGCGGATCTTCCCAACCCCGGGATCGAACCCAGGTCTCCCACATTGCGGGCGGATTCTTCACCAGCTGAGCCACCAGGGGAGCCCCCCAGAAAGAAGAGCACAGGCCAAACCCAGCCTGGCGGGGCAGCGGGGGCGGGGGGCGGGCGGCGGGGGGCGGGGCCGGTGGGGGGCGGGGCCGGGCGGCGGGGGCGGGCCGGTGGGGGCGGGCCCGGGCGGCGGGGGCGGGGTCGGGCGGCGGGGGCGGGGCCGGCTGGGGGCGGGGCCGGGGGGCGGGGGCGGGGCCGGTGGGGCGCGGGGCCGGCTGCGGGGGCGGGGCCGGTGGGTGGCCCCAGGGGTGCCCCGCCCAGCCTTGCCCGCTGTGACCGCTGTGCTCTCCCCGCCGCCCCGCAGATCCTGGAGGAGAACATGAAGCTGGAGTGCAAGTGCCACGGCGTGTCGGGCTCCTGCACCACCAAGACCTGCTGGACCACGCTGCCGCAGTTCCGCGAGCTGGGCTACGTGCTCAAGGACAAGTACAACGAGGCGGTCCACGTGGAGCCCGTGCGCGCCAGCCGCAACAAGCGGCCCACCTTCCTCAAGATCAAGAAGCCGCTGTCCTACCGCAAGCCCATGGACACCGACCTGGTGTACATCGAGAAGTCGCCCAACTACTGCGAGGAGGATCCGGTGACGGGCAGCGTGGGCACGCAGGGCCGCGCCTGCAACAAGACGGCGCCCCAGGCCAGCGGCTGCGACCTCATGTGCTGCGGCCGCGGCTACAACACCCACCAGTACGCCCGCGTCTGGCAGTGCAACTGCAAATTCCACTGGTGCTGCTACGTGAAGTGCAACACGTGCAGCGAGCGCACGGAGGTCTACACGTGCAAGTGAGCGGGCGCCCGGCCTCCGCCGCCGCCGCTGAGCTGGTCTTGTCTGCTGTGGGGTGGGGGTGGGGGTGAGGGGGGGGCTGCCCCTGCCGGTGGAGGGGGGGCGGGGGACCCCTCCCGGGCCCGAGTCGCCATCCGTGCCTCACCCAGACGCCGCCCTCGGCCGGAGCAGAGCCAGAAACACCGGACCCCGGGGGCCTCAACAGTTAATAGCAATATTTAACAATTTATTCTGATATAAAAAAATAATATTAATTTATTTAATTAAACAAGAACCCTTCCACCTCGTCGGGATCCGTTTTCTGCAATCAACATGGACCGCTGGCTTTCCCTGTGGGATGGTTCTGCCGCTAGGACAAGGAGTGGAATAGAACTGTACATAGTGATTCTTCAGGCAGATCTTTTTCCTAGCTGATTTTGCGAGAACCCCCTGGCCGCGCTAGATGTTCAAGGGCAAGGGCAGACATCCTTTCTACGTATATAGATACACACACACACACACATACATATATTTTTTGCTGTTTGCTGCTAATTCTCCAGAGATTTAAGCTGGTCTGGAACTGGGAGACGTTTTCTAGAATACGGTTACCAGCGTGTCGTCCTCCCCAGCTCAAACCTCCCCATTAGAAAAGTCCAGTTTGGAACAGAGAGAGAGAGAGAGGAAAGGTAATGCTAAAACCCCCAGCTGTTCCCACCTTCTGGAAAGTGAGCCACTGGATAAGAGAGGATATTTTGTAAGAGACTATTTTTATATGAATATTTTATTTATATTGAGTCTGCCTGTATCATTCCGCGGCCTGTGCTCCTTCTTAATCCCGGTACTCCCTGTGGGGTAAGGAGGGGCCAGGCCTGGGTGTGGCGTCAGGCCCCTCTGAGACCCTGACTTACACAGCTGGGCTTTCCAGCCCTGTTGGCCAAGTGGGCAGCAGCAGCCCCAGACGCCTGGGCCATGCGGTCGTCAGTTTCCCTGAGGAGGAGGCAGGGCCCTGGCCCTGGCTCGTTGAGCTCCGGCCTTTTGAGCAGGGCCCCCGAGTGGTGACCTCGAGAGGAGCCATGTGGAGGGCAGGCTCGTGTCCTGGGCCCCACGTGGCTGTCACAGGGACACATCATGACCCCCTGGCAGAAGCCAGCTAAGGGAGCCCGCTCCTCTCCAGGACACCCTGCCACTGCTGGGCGTCCTCCGTTACGGGGCAGCAGAGCTGGGTGAGGGGCTCCCTCGAGCAGCAGGGCTTCCTGGATGGCACAGCCCCAGGGCGCAGAGAGGTGTGGATGAGGCCTCTACACTGGGTCCACCGACGTCCAGTGCTTCTGAACCTGGAAGTCTCTCCTCCAGGAGGGTGTGGGTGTTCTAATGCGTGTCTGTTTGCATTTCCCCGTGTGTGTGTGTGTGTGTGAGAGAGAGAGAGAGAGAGAGAGACACTTTAGGGATCCTCAGCACTGTCGTGTGACCGCCCCCTCAAGCCCCTTCCGGGTGCTGATGTGTGCGTCTTGTGCGCTTCTGCATGTACATGGCTTTCTGTGCATCTCTCTCCACGAGCCTGGGAGATTCAGGGTGCTGTGTGCCTGTTGATCTGCTGTGGTCCCAGGGGTGTCTGCTTACGGGTGAGGGCTTGTGGTGTGAAGCAGGTTGCTGGGAACTTTGGCGATTGTGTTGAGCCACCAAGAAGAGATGGCCCCTCTGAACTCTGTGCCCACAGACACTGATGAAACTCAGATACCTCTGAGACAACAGTCCCCTGGCCCCACACACTGGGAGGCCCTCAGTGTCTCCAGGCAGTGTCAGACTCCCCAGTGTTAGCACCGGGCCTCGATCACAGCATGGACAAATAAAATGACTGGACAGTGGCTTGACTTCTTCCCTTGGACCTTTTTTGTCTTCTTTACATGGGTGTCTGGATGTGTAGGCACATAAAGGGATGAGTGGATGGACGGATGAATCAGTGAGCGGATGGGTGGCTAGAAAGATAGATGGACGATGGATGAGTGGGTAAGTGGATGGGTAGGTGGATAGCTAGATGGATGGATGAGTGGATGGATGGACAGATGGATAATGGATGGGTGGGGAGGTGGGTGGTCAGTGGACAGGTGGATGGGTCATGAATGAATTGATGGATGAATAGGTAGATGGTTGGATGGATGGGTAAGTGAAAGGATAAATGGATGGATAATAGGTGGGTGAGTGGGTGAGTGGGTGGATGAATAAGTGGATGGTAATGGGTGGTGGATGAGTGAGTGGATAGGTGGATGTATAGATGGGTGAATAATGGGTAGGTGGGTGAGTGGGTCACTAGATGGATAGGTGGATGGATGGATGAGTGAGTGTATGGAGGATTGGTAAGTGGATGGATAATGGATGGAAAGGTAAGTGGGTAGGCGGATGAATAGATAGATGGGTGAGTGAGTAGATGGATAGATGGGTAAAAGGTGGGTGGGTAGGTGGATGGGTACATGGATGAGTGAGTGGGTAGGTGGATGGATGGATAATGAATAGGTGGGTACATGGGTGGGTCACTGGATGGGGACAGGGATGGGTGGATGGATAGGTAGATGAATGGATAGGTAGATGGAGGGATGAATGAGTGGGTGGAAGGTGGGTAAGTGGATGAATAATGGATGAATAGATAAGTGGGTGGGTAGATGGATGGGTGGATTTAGTGGCTAAGTGGATGGACAGATGGATGGATGATGGGTGGATAGGTGAGTGGGTTGGTGGATGGGTAGATGGATGGATAGATGAGTGAGTAGATGGGTGGATGGATAAGTGGATAAATAGTAGACAGGTGGGTATGTGGGTGGATGGGTAGATAGAAGGATAGATGAGTAAGTAGATAGGTGGATGGATAGCGGGATGCTAATGGATGGGGGGTATGTAGTGGGTCACTGGATGGGTACATGGATGGGTGAAGGGATAGGTGGGTGGATGGAGGGATGAGTGAGTAGATGGAGAATGGCTAAGTGAATAGATAATGGATGGATAGGTAAGTGAGTGGGTAGATAGATGGATGTATTATTGGCTAGTAGGATGGATAAGTGGATGGATGGATGGATGAAGGGTGGGTAAGTGAGTGAGTTGGTGGATGGGTAAATGGATGAATGGATGGATGAGTGAGTAGATGGGTGACTGGATAGATGGATAAATAATAAATAAGTGGGTGGGTGGATGGGAGATGGATGAGTGAGTAGATGGATGGATTGATAATGGATAGGTACATGGGTAGGTCACTGGATGGGTAGATGGATGGGTGGATGGATGGGTTGATGAAGGGATAGGTAGATGGATATATGGATGTATGAGTGAGTGGATGGAAGATGGGTAAGTGGATGGACAGATAGATGGATAATGGGTGGGTAAGGGGTGGATGGGTGGATGAATGAGTTGATGAGTGGATGGATAAGTGGATGGGTGGATGCTGCTGCTATTTAGTCACTAAGTCATGTCTGACTCTGTGACTCCATGGACTGAGGCCTGTCAGGCTCCTCTGTGCATGGAATTTTCCAGGCAAGAATACTGGAGTGGGTTGCCATTTCCTTCTCCAGGGGATCTTCCAGACCCGGGGACTGAGCCTGCATCTCCTACTTGGCAGGTAGATTCTTTACTACTGAGCCACCTGGGAAGCCCAACTGGATGGATAGATGGATGTTAATGGATGGGTGGGTAGTGGATGGATGGATGGATGAGTGAGAGGATGGGTGGATGGATAAACGGACAGTTAGATCACTGGATGAGACAGATGGGTAAGTAGGTGGGTTCGTGGATGGCTAGTATGATGGATGGATGAGTGAGGGAATGGGTAGATGAGTGAGCGGATGGGTGGGGATGGGTAAGTGGGTGGGTGGATAAGTGGATGGACGGATAAAGGATAGGTGAGTAGGTGGATGGGTAGATGGATAACTGGATGGATGGATGAGCAGATTGATGGATGGATGGATGATGGGTGGGTAGGTGGGTGAGTCAGTGGATGGCAATATGGGTGGATGAGTGGGTGGATGAATGGGTAGATGGATAATGGGGGAGTGGGTAAGTGGGTGTGGGGGTGTATGGGCAGATGGATGGGTGGATGGATGAGTGAGTGGATGGTGGATGAGTAAATGGATGGGTAATGGGTGGTTAGATAAGTGGGTGGATAGATGAATGAATGGGTTAGTAGCCAGGTGGATGCATAAGTGAGTGGTTAAGTGAATGGGTTGGTTGGTGGGTAGAAAGAAGAATGGATGTATGAGTGAGTAGATGGGTATATGGGTATATGGATAAGTAATAGATAGGTGGCTAAGTTGGTGGGTGAGTGGATGGGTAGATGGATGGGTGGATGAGAGTGGATAGGTGGATGGACAGATGGATGGATAATGGATAGGTGGGTAAGTGGGAGGGTCACTATAATGGTAGGTGGATGGAGGGATGAGTGAGTGGACGGAAGATGGGTAAGTGATTGGATAATGGATGGATAGGTAAGTGGGTTGGTAGATGGATGGATGGATTAGTAGCTAGATGGATGGATCAGTGGATGAACAGATGGATAGATAATGGGAGGGTGAGTGAATGGGTTGGTGGGCAGATGGATAAGGGGATGGGTGGATGTGTAGATGGATGGATGAATGAGTAAACTGGATTGGTGGATGGATAATGGATGGGTGGGTCAGTGAATGAGTAGATGGATGGGGTGGATAGGTAGGTGGATGGATGAGTGAGTGAATGGGTGAATAGATAGATGGCTAATGGATGGGCAGATAAAGGGGTCAGTAGATGGGGGGATGGATAAGTAAATAGCTTCTGCTGCTGCTAGTCACTAAGTCATGTCCAACTTTGTGACTCCATGGACTGTAGCCCACCAGGCTCCATTGTGCATGGAATTTTCCAGCCAAGAATCCTGGAGTGGGTTGCAATTTCCTTCTCCAGGGGATCTTCTGGGCCCAGGGATTGAACCCATGCCTCCTGCTTGGCAGGTGGATTCTTTGCCACTGAGCCACCTGGGAAGCCCAATTGGATGGACAGACGGATATTAATGG